CTTATAACGTTTTCACTACTCTTTTACATTACTACTGCTTCCCGTAGTTGATTATGATTTAATGGTCAAAAATAACTTATGTTTAATAAAATAGATTGTCAATATGATGTTTATTTGTCGAATTCGAATTCGGAATCGGCGACAAAAGACTTAGAAAGATTTAAAGAATTGGAAATTGAATATAGAATTTGAACTTAGATCTTTTCTTGAGTTGAATTTTTAGAGAGCGATTTATTTTGTCATCTGACTGGACTCTATGACTGCTAACTCGAAATTGATCAGGGGTCGAACTATATTTTATCAAGATGATTCGCGACTACGTGGTGACTTCTGATTTGCAGTTCACCTATGGCTAATTGTTGTTAAGCCCGGTCACTGGGCAGAGTTTAGTCTCCGTTCCTTCATGTCCTGTTCGTCTTTTGTAGCCCCTTCCTTATAAAATAAAATTTTGACCACCCTGAGGGCGCGCGATCGATGTTTTGTTTATACTATAATTTCTTCGGTAGCGTGTCTTAGCCTTGGCTGTCACAGAAGTGTAAGGACTTCTGTCGACATATTTATGTATGTACGGTAGCCGATCGATTAGAATGATTCTTAGTAAACCGATTCTAAGTTATTACTGTTATAAAATATGTCGAATGGAAATGAATAGTACAGACTGATCTCATTTTGCTAGAGATACTTCGTGCGTTGCACTGAACAAAATAATGATAAAAAGCATGAAGTGTGATTGAAGGTTCTCATCCAGACGTAACAATATGAACTAGGTATACATAGAATCAAATTGTTTATTTAGTAACACCAGCAAGCAACTTCTGAAGTATGGAATATAAAGTTGATGTTTTATAATATCACAATGCAATTCTACAGCTATAAAAGCTTTCAAACTTATAATAATCGCGTTAAAAAATTGTGCTACAATATTAGTTATGATCACTAAATCGTAATCCAATCATTGCTACCGATCACCTTCAGCAACATGCTATTATTAATGTTAAATATGGTTCTTCTCTACTTATGCTTCGATTACTAACTTATCTTTGAACACTCTGAATGGTAAACGTGGTAAACGTATTTAAAAAAGAAAAAAATATATATGATCAATGTAAATTCTATCTTTTCTATCGTTGGCGTTGAAGATTTAGCAATTCATGTCTCACGTCTTTGAATGCTTCGTAGAGTATTCTATAACAATGGAGGTATAATAGATGCTCGTATCATCTTCCTTTCTACGATTATTGTACTCTATGTTTTCTTTTGGACGCTAATCTGTATTTATTTCAAAAGTCTATTATTAAGCTTTGTAAAAAAAGTACATATAATAATGTAAAATGCTTGTACATATTTGTAGCTGTAAAAGATAAGTCAAAAGTAAACGTCTAAGTGTTATACATTTTCTTTACAGGAATTTTCTTTACAGGAAAACTAAAGTAGCTGGTGCATTATTACTAATTATTCTGTTTTATTTTCCTGATTTAATCATAAACTTAGTCTTAAGGGAAAATTTCAAATATCTTCAAAGGTTGTCTCTTATGTATGATACTTCCTCATTTTTGTGTCTTCTTGCCTTTTTTCTATATGTTGTGACGTATTTTTACGCGATCGACCTCACCGGAAAATGCAAGACCGACCGGCGCACAACTTTACGCGATTCCTACGCGTTCCAGGCAACCCAGGGGCTAACAAAGTTTTACAGTCGAAATACCTAAAGTATTGTTAGGTGCCAGGTTCCAAACGGGAACCACGTATCAATTTCTACGATTCGTCTTCGCGTGCCTACGTTGGCTAACTCAGCTACGCGGAGGCGTCGGGATTCGGAACAATAGGTCGGATGGGTCAGACGATCATGCGACACACAAAATGATTCGGACACTTCGATCTCAAATAAAAGGTTCGATTTATTAGATAAAATCGGCGGCCCGAAGCGCGACAATCTCGGACAATACCGAATGAATGATTTACAAAAAAATGTAATTAATATAGATCGAAAACACAAGACAGAAATACAATCAAAAGATAGTAACGGGTACTTCGCGGACCGTATGAATTCAAAGCCAAAATGGTAACACGGCTAATCTGCGTTTACCAAAATACGATAACCGACCGTCAAGGATCTGCACGCGTTCTACGCGTTACAAAATCAAAAGTACAAGTTCCTTGCGGGCGGAACAACTCGAACAAGTCGGAGAACGTTACACAATTCTAATCCAAAAATAATATGTCAAACAAAATCTAATCAGTGAATCCTGCCGGTCGACGGACCTTCGTGCCTTGGTCTGATTCGAGGTGAGGGATCGTCCCTCCGCGTGTCCGTTACACGCGCAGTCAAAAATTACGAACAAAAACAAAACTCCGGGTCAAAGAGGGGCATGAAGTTACGTCGCTCACAAAAACGTCAACTATACTCGCTTACCGTAGTGTTTCCTGGTCGCGTAATCCCAGAAAACCAATCGTCTGCCCAATTGCACGTTGTGCACTCGCGTACTCACAAATCAAATCAAACGTGTTTCGCCGTCGCGTGTGCAAGCAGGAATCTCATCTTCACGCGCTTAGTCTTCGCGTGAAGGATAGCACCCCCTCCCTTTAGGCTAATGGGCGGCGATTCGCCCTGCGAACGAATCCTTCAACCCAAAGTCTGCGCCACGCGCCAGTTTCGAATATGTCATCGCGACAATTAATAATTTCCATATCCCTTGTGGATAATTCATACATATCGGGTCCTACGAAGAGTATCAGTCGATCTCGCGCGAGAGTGCACCAGGCGTCCCTGGATTCCCAACTCGCGGAAATATAATTATGCGCAACTGAAGATGGGCGCTATGCCACAGGGGTCGGTAGTGGTGCTCATTCGTTGGCGCTGTGCGCGCAACTTTCAGTCGTGGTGGTTAAGAATCAGCTGAGTAGAGCGCGTTGCTGCCGCGTCAAGCTGTCCCGCGTAGCGCGCGCCTCCTGGGCTAGTAGAGCTGCTCTCCGCAGATAGCGCGAGTGTCGACCCTCGCGTGTCGCAGTTACCTTCCTCCTGGGACTCCAGCTGGCTTTCCCTCTCTCTTTCGCCGCGTCTTCACGGACACGGCGAGCGAGCAACCTATTCGAACTCCGGCAGAGTACACGTAACAAAAGAAAAATAATGAAATAATCTATCGTAATTTTAATTAGACCCTTGCGGTCGGTGGATTCTGCCTGGACTTTGGTATGGCCTTTAGGCCCGTATCGCGTTTCGGCGTGATTTTCCGCCGAGGACAAGACGGGTGAAATCCACCATGTCACAATGTATAGATCATTACTAGTATTTAGAGTTGAATTTCACTTGAAAATTTAATATAATGAGTCGGTTATACATGATACATAATACGCAATACTAGTTTATAAAACTACTTTATACTGGGCATTCCATGAAACCATATACATATATGGTAATATAACAATGAAAATAAAGTCATTGATATTGCCAATAATTCATGAGACAATATGAGTACATTCAAGCAATATGCTACTTATTAAAGAAGATATATAAAGCAACGTTGTCAAAAAGGAGCCTTCCCCACCAACCAACTACTAGTATCCGCAGCGAGCGACAGGTGGATCAGCGGTCCCACACATGAAGAGTTTTTATTTCTTGAAAGAGTTTTCTATTGGAAAATACATAGATATTTATTACATAGCCTTGTTTAACATTTATGTTTTGAAAATTGCGAACGTAAGAGTCGAGGTAGATTTCGAATCCAAGCGAAATGATAAATTGAACTTCTTGAAACCAGTTCTATGTCCGAGTCATCATCGATACTATTCACATTGATTTCAGTTTCCACCATGAGTATATGTATTCGTGACTTATTTGATATTGGCTGACTTAAATAAAGTAGCACTATTTCACTACTCTTATCCTTTTGATCACGTTCGACACCTAAAATATTAATGGCTAAATCGTTTAATTTCTGAAATTTTTTAATATCCTTTGAAGCAATAGAGAAGTGTATACCTACGTACTTTAGTACTGAGCTAAAATGTGGATCCGAGCTGATCCTGTCTACATGATGTTTTGGTGGATGAAAGGCTACTGTAACGGATAATAGGAAGCAAAAAGGATCATTGTTTCTAATGTTGACTACTGCTTTGTTATTCTGCATATGTTTTGGCAGCTCGACATATATTGATAGACTTTCATGTAATGGTTCATATTTTTTAATATTTTACAACTAAATTTATAATTTTGACCAATGATCAGCCTGACTCTCTTTCCTGGAAATCCTCAATTTTAACCAGTAATTTATCTTTTACGTGTTTCTTAAACCAATTATCAATGTCCATTAATGGAGGGATTACTTCGTTTCTGGTGTTGAGGAACTTCATCTCTGATAATTTCGCTACATTTTGCAGTTTCAAATTTGCACCATAACGCGACGTTTACTTTTACATTACCCTCTTTCTTAAGAGTATACTACTTAGTTTGGAACGTTCCAGAAGCATGTGGTTGGGGGTTGGGAGATTGGCAAAATGGCTTCCGGCTGAAGGCTGCCATCCAAAATTTTCTAGAACCTTCTAGATTGTTCTAATAGGCTCTCGATCGTGTGCGGTTCCTGGAATCAGGGGTAAAATTCTTAGAATGCTACGTAAAATGTCTAAAATCAGCGTTCGATTCGTGAAATTGACCATCCTCGTACATCACTACTCGAAATTAGGGCCTCCCCTGTCTATGAAGTCGATTTAGTACGGAACGAGCCTTCAAATGCCCTCGAAGTTCTACGACCTGCACCAACGTGCGAAATAATTGTCAACTACGTCACATGTATAACTAGTACTGTTACTGTATTTCACTCGCATTTTCGTATTAAATCAATTCCAACGTAAGCAGTTTTTTTTTATCAAAAGTACTAGCGAACAAGCTTAAAATGTAACTAGTGTCTAATCATAACTACAGTATATATTGTTAAGTATTTTAAGATTTTCTGCACGTGAAACTTTACATTGAAAATTAATTGAACTTTTTTTGTGTATTATAGTTGGGTGTAAATGGGTATTCCTTCATAGTGGACAATAATGGCCGTGTTCTGTATCATCCAGATTTACGACCACTGGTGAGTCTTCAAAGTATTTCTCCTTATATGCAAATGTACTTACACTGAGAAAGAGAATCCGTGAGATCAGTCGAAACGTAGTTAACGGAACTCCGCCTTGAGGTTGGATACAGCCAAACATATACAAAAGTCGAGCCTGAGTAGCTATGTAATTGACACGTTTTGTTGAGCCAATGACATTAAAAGTTCAGGAAATCAATATTTGATCGAATGCAATTCATTAATATATCTAATAATATTTTCTGCGTAGTTGATGAAATTTTGTAAATTATTAAATTAATATTAATAACTGTTTATTATTAATATAGTAACTATTAATTAATATTAATATCGAGTTTCTCGTATACCATAGTTGATTAAGCATTATACAGAATTTGAAAGAGAAAGAGTAACATAGTAATATACTTAATCATAATATCTTTATCTCACATTATGAACTTGATATGCAATTAGATGATGTATTTGGCTCAATAAAAAATGTTACAATTCGAACAATAAACGCGTAATTACCTCTATCAAAATTTCGTGAGTACAACTACCAATCGTACAACTTCATGGCGTGCATGACAATTCTTATTTTTCTCAGTAGGCACCATAGGAAAGTTAAAAATGTGTTTCTCCGTATCTTAATGTAGTTTATTTTATGATATCCTGTGTTGCAGTAAAGAATAACGCATTATGACATTTCCCTTTTCGACTAAAATCCGCTTGTGTACGGAAAGAATTTTTTGGTTATAGACTCTGAATATATAGGATTAAACCCCAAACAGCATAATAATCTGAAAATATTCTGGCAATATTTTCAAATTTGAAAAAAATATGTCTCGGCCATAATCTTAGCAGAAATTGGTGTTTTATCAAAGAATTTGTGGACCAATAATCACTAAGTTTATTTTTTAACTTGTCCTATTATAATCAGTAATGCAAAAAACATTTTATTTCTACTATTGACGCATCGGTCCATATTGCACCATGTTTTGTTTTTTATACATTCCATTTTTACGTCTGTTAGTTTCAATGCATACTTCATTCAAAATGTCATCCCCAATAAACAGAGTCGTAACATTTATAGGATGATTGTAATCGCCTAGAATTTATATTCCGAGCATGCCCAGAAACTCCTCATTTTTTACTTCTTAGATCATCCCGTTAACCAACAATCTTCTTCTCCTTCTTCGGAACTGTTCTGCATCGAGCAGTTACTTCCTTCGCTTTTTTCAATGAAGCTGTCCAAAATAACCTGCGGCCTGCGCAAACTTCTACTAATTTTCCTAAAATATAGATCCCCATCAACATCGTCTCTATTAGTGCCAGCATCACTGTTAGTTTCTACATCCTCCAAAAATATTATTTCCGAGTTTATATACCATTTCTTTAATGCCATATTTAAAAAATTGTCTAGTTACACTTATAAATATTAACACTTCTACACACGTTAAGAGCTTCACTACACCTAAGGTATAATATGGCGGTTATTTCGCACGACATTCATCTGACGCAAATGGCGTCATCTGTAGATAAGGTGTTAATCTATTCTCAATGTGTTTTTTTCCTAAAATTCGAATAGCAAAAAAAGCTTATGATTTGTCGTATGATCACTCAATTTGACAGTAGTTTTCACAACACTGACTAATATAGTTTTCAATATACATATATTGAGAGGATCACTAAAATCTCAAGGGACCAAAACATGGTTATAATTTATATTTTTTTTTTTTCATCGTATAATACCATACGCAGAGTAACGGTATAGCTACGTATAGCGCAAGTCCCCAGAAAGCCGGAATATTATTTGATTGCTATGCTAAATCGAGAGATTATCCCTATATTATTCTTTTTGTGTGTCAAATTGTTAGTTTTGACTGTCAAGGAATGGTTTTAACTGACTGTAATATATATGTATATATACAGTAATGCGCAATTGAAGTGGAACACTTTAATTTTTGT